ATGGACTGCTTTGCCCTGGGGAATATTTGTGTTATATCTGGGGTGATAATTACTTTATACACACCATGCACCTTCCTTCCTGAGGCTTGGACAAACTGAGGCATCATTAGTACTATTTTGGATCTCATTCTGATGACTGATGGCTCTCAGTGATGTAATGCGTAGGTGAATCCAGACAGTGTAGAAGGAAAATAGCATTACGGAATCCTGTAATTAGTCATAGATAATAACTGTGCCTGTAATGGAACCAAGACTCTGTTTATATAAGTGGGACATGTATATGTTCCTTGAAGTCTTGATAGGCATTAAGGGGATTAAAAAAGACCAATTGGATTTATTGGACAGTTTCTTAAAGAAAATTAAATTTGATGATTATAGCAAGGAGCTCAGACTGTTAGTATCAGTACCTGATTATTAGGATACTGGAACCTGTTCCACAAAGTGATCTAAGCTCTTTGATGATCATAATCCTAGGTTAAAGTATGGACATTATCATCTCCTTATCACGAAGATCGCATTGAGAAGCGGTGCTCTGGTATATTTACAAATATCCGAATGAAAGATTGAAACCCGTTCCTTAATCAGTTTTGACAACTGTAGCTATCATTGTCATCACAATTCTCTTTGTATCCTTACCATTGCAAAAATGAGTGTCTGATCAAGAAAAGAGGAGTAAGTCTGTGAGAGTAGAACTGATGTATAGGCTAGCTGCCAGACACAGGCTCTCCAGCTGTCAGGTGCAGTGATGGACTTGGTCACCCCAGTAAGCTGCCCTTCCCGTCACTCCTCCACATCAGCTGTCTTTGTTACGTCAACCTTCCCATCACGAAGGTGATAAATCCTGCAGAAAACTGATCCTGATAGCTCTCAGCTAGGATCAGCTTAGTTCAACAGTATGGTATGTGGGATGCGAGCTTGATTTGACGTCAAATGTTCTAAAAATGATTTTGACTGTCTTGCAATTTAGGAGTAAGTTTGTTACCTGTGTTCTGATGAAACAGTGTTGTGTGTGGGTGGATGTATGAAAGGAATTTAGTAAGTAGTTAGTGATGAACGGCATGCAACACATACCAGTGGTTGATAGTGAGAGCACATGTCCACACCATAGGGTTGGGTACGATTTATACAGCGGTAAACACAACAATTACAGGTTTGAGTTTGTTGTATTTACAGTCATTAAATCACTGTTGACACACAACAGCTATATTGATCTGATAGATTTATACAGCTCTATATACATATTCCTTACCAACATAGTTTTATACAGTTATATATACTACTGAACAACATAGTTTATTACACTAAGATACATATATTACCAACCAACATAGTTTTATACAGGTAGATACTTATATTACCAGCCAACATAGTTTTATACAGGTAGATACTTATACTACCAACCAAGATAGTTTGATATACCTAGATATATGTAACTATCAGAATAGTTTACACCTTTCACATATAAATCATTGTGAGTGTCAAGTTGTTTGTTTAGTCCACATCTATTTGCTACAAGGTGCCTCAACACTCCACGATCTAAACTGTGCATTGTGTGTTGTATGCACATGAAGACTTGTCACGAAATAAGCTGTATAGTAAGTGGGTGTGTCCCCACGACCAGCACACCACATGTATCCCCCTCCATCTGTCGCGGCAGTTGTACGTTATGGGCGGATTGCGTTCCTGTCTTGTTAAAAAATCTTTCACTCACTGGATTGTATATCACCCTGACCCTTTTCGATTGAAAACTTCCTGATCTGGGCAAGAAACCATGATGTTATCAGTTGTAATCAAAGTGTTAGATTGCACAGCAAAACACAGCAATAAGAGTTAACATTCAACTCTAGATTCAGTACATTTATCTATGAGATATCTTCAGATATTAATACAATTTCAAACGTCTGTATTTTTATGTGTTAGGGGTGTAGGAATACTTAAATTTAACATATCTATCCATCCAAACTATCCTGTAGTGATAGCATCTAGTATGTGTCTTCAGTATCGCTGTCAGTCACCAAGTGTTATCAGTGTCAATAGGCATTACCGGTAATAATGTTGACAGTGCTGCTCACTGCAGATGCGTCACACTCCAAGTATACCAGTGACTATACACTGTACACTACGTCATGCTCCAAGTATACCAGTGACTGTACACTGTACACTACGTCATGCTCCCAGTGTTCCAGTGTTGCATTACTACGTCACATCCAACCATCTCTTTATGCTCCAACTGTCCCACCCAGTATCAATACACTGACTAGTCTCTCACAGAGCTCTATGTTTCTCTGAAAGGACAGTGTTGTGGGGGAAGCCAAGCCCTTGCTGTATCAAACCTTGCTTTGTTATAAGATATTTATTAGAATCAGTCAGTCACGGGAACAAACACCTCAGCAGTGATTACTTCGTGGCCTCCGTGCTGATCTGCTAGTCAATACTTGGAAGCACATGTGGGGTCCTGTATGTCTATGGCAGACCTCAATGAAATCACTGCATTTCTTATCCATTGGAAAATGCTTTTACTATATCAGACAATAAAAAAGTTAGGGATTGTAATTATTTTGGGAGGTTATGTTTTTGTTGTGAAGACTGTGAACACAATTATGTTAAAAATGTCCACTGAAGTATTCATGATCTCTGTCTTTTAATTCAGTATATGTGAGGGGTTTAATGAATTTTGTGAAGCCAAAAGAGAAATTGTTTTCTGTTTGGTGCTAGACATTCAACATGACTGATACTGAGTGACACTTAAAAGGCTTGTGGATTGCTGATTGCTGGTGTATTAACCAGCAGTAATCAGTCACCCACTCAGTTAATTACAATTACTATACATGTATACAGCAATCACTGTATGTGATATTTATTGTTTCACAGAGTCAGTGTCATAATAATAGTTGGAGATGTGAATAATGGATGAAAGGCTCATATACATGATACATAGATTTAGCTCCCTACCCCAAGGGTGTGATACGCTGGATAACGCTGCAGCTGCAAGGGATGTTATTATTACCCTATCATCTAGCATGGTGCAGGTGGTCTTGTGCAACACAGGAAAGAGATTTGTATGCTTGATAACACTTTACTCTATGGGAAAATGCCTTGTCAATAGCAATTAGTTCCACTGCTGTGTTGTCAACACTTGGACGATCTAATGTATCGCACTTAAATATACAGGACAGAAGAAATAGTCATGAATATGGGGGAGGTGGGGTGGGGTGGGTGGTGGTGGTGGGGTTTGTGTCTGAAGACAATTTCATGCATATGTTCCGCAAAAATTTCTTTTCGTTTAGAGCTTGAACCAAAACAGTATATTGAATGGGATGCTCTTATATCTGGTAGACTTACTAGCTTTGGAATTAATAATTGATGTGGTCTACTTTCTTTGCTCTGTAATAAAGAAATGGGTTGAATCTGTTAATTCTGGAACTGGAATAAACAGATTCAAGTGATTTCTGTGACCTAAACCAAGTTGTGGATTAATTCTATTTGTTTACAGTACATCTTCAAAATAGTTACTGAAGTCTCAGGATCACCTGCAACAAGACATCAACATAATGGCTTAAACAGCATCATTGACTGAGTTAGCATTTGAGATGATTTCACTTGTCTCATGGACTTCTTGTTATCAGACACACTATACCTATCAGCATTTGTTTTGAACACTCTCCAACTTCACAATCCACAGTGTTAGCAGGAAGTTGTTCACAGGTGTCATGTTTCCCTAGTGATCCACTTCCAGTCTTTCATTTCCTGTTGCAGTTGGTGCCAAAAACTCACTACCCTGTACTTGGCTCCTAGCGTCTTTTCAATATAGTTTAGTGTTGTTATCTCAACATTAGTAGCTGTGCTGATTAGACTGAACAGAAATCAGTAGAATCTAGCTTGGGATCAGTGGCTAAAGTCACAGACTATTGTACTGTCAGTGCCAGGCCCTATAACGGTGTTGGGGTATCCTAGAGACGGGTTTGATTCCCCACAGGAGTACGATGTGTCCGCATATCTAAAGATCCCGCTAGGATATTGTTGGATTATTGCTAAACTCGGTGTAAAACCGAACTCACTAACTTAACATGGAAATGCTAGCCCAACGACTACTGTCAACCATAGTTTAGACCAACACTGATCAAAGTGTGCCCTAGTACCTCCCAAAAATCCACCAGACTCAGGAATGTAATTCTGAACGTATTAAATATGGATTTCCTTCCTGGTAAACGCTGTGTCAAGATCAGACTTTATGTTGTTGCCACTGGTGGCCAGAGGAGGGATTGTTTTCCTGATAAGGCACCTGGTGTTGCACAGATAAACAAACTATCAGAAGTAACAGTCAGTGCCATGTCATAGATCAGAATAATGCTCAGTTTATTTATGATTGAAAAAGACAAAGAACATGAAATGGCCATGGTTCAAACCCTCACATGATTTTCTTCACCTGTGACAACACTAGAATGTGCTTAAAGTTGCATAGAACCAGTCTCTCTTAAAACACCAACGTACACCAATGTTTTTTATGTAGATGTTTGGCATGACTTTCACATCATGTCGAAGACCTGGGTTTGATAACCCACATGGGCAGAGTGTGTGAGGCCAATTTCTGGTGTCCCCCAACGTGATATTGCAGGAATATTGCCAAAAGTGGCGTAAAACCATACTCACCCACTCACTCACTCACTATGAGTCAAGCTTCACCCTGATCATGCGGTTGGGTTTGTTTGACAACCCTGCTCATGAGTTCAATCAGTGTAAACATTGGAGATTGACAGCAGCATGGATGGTCCAGGGTCTGAGGTGCTGTGCACAGTTGTGTCCCTTGGGCACCTTGCTCTGATATAATTGAAATACTGTTGAAAGCAGCTATAAACTCAACTTACTCACTTACTCTTGACTGTCACTCCTACTTTCACCTGTATTATAGAGAGAGAAGTTGTAAGACATGGACTGGCCCTGATGTTGAACCCTTGGATGGATATAGTGAGCTTGTCATCAATGGTGTTGTTTCATTACAGGGTCTGATGAAGAAACTGACAAGCAGGCCCGTGACCGGTTCTACAGCGTCCCCGCCACAGGACAGAGCAACAAACAGGTAGGGCAATGTTACAAATAGTAGGACTGTTTGTAGGAATTGAATTATATGTGAGAAGATTTGGAGAGTAGTCCTGGCACTATGTTAGTGTTTGGGTATTGGGAGGTATCGTCCTGTATTAACCAACAAATGACTTCCTTTTTCTCTTCACATACTTATATAGTGCCATTGACAACCTGTTTAAAATTTGAAACTGCATGACACGTAATATACGACATTTCAGAGCTAATTCTTGCTCCTTCATTCACCTGAAGGAGCAAGAGTTAGCTCTGAAACGTTGTATAAAGAATAAAAAGAAGTTGTTATCCATAAAACCGTGTCATGTATTCATGTGTGTCCAACTTTTAAGTACCTTCAGGAACTTCAGCTTAAATATGACACAAAATTACTGGCGAATGTTAGATGGTCTAATATTTGTTCCGAAGACCTGTAATGGAACATTGAATAATGCATAAAAGCAAGTGATTGTTAATGATGAATACAACAAAAAGCAAATTATACTATTTACCATTTGCTTATGACCGTAATTTTGAGAACGCTATTTATGTCCTTAGCAAATGTTGAGACGTAGAGTTTGTCAACAACAAACTTGAAGAATAAGTATTTTTAAACATCGGAAGATGTCTATGTATCATTAAAGGATTATGAAGTCTCTAATACAGTAACCAGTCTTTGCAATGATTATACTTTTGTTCAGTAAGGGTCATTATGTAGAGGACCGCCTCCATGGTGTAGTGGTTAGAGCGTCCGCCCGGAGAGCGGAAGGTCGCGGGTTCGATCCCCGGCCGCGTCATACCAAAAGACGTTAACATATGGTACTTGTTGGTCCCTGCCTGGCGCTCGGCATTAATGGGTACATCAAGGACTGGTCGGCTCGGAGTCAGTATAATGTGTCTGAGTGGGGGTATTCATGCTTCACTGCGGCATGGTATCTCAGTGGGCTAGCACTATAAAACCAGCTTCAGTCTGAGCTAGTACAAGCAGTCGCACCTACACATACACATGCATGCACGTCGTCATATGAGCGAAATATTCTCAAGCACGACGTTAAACCCAATTTCACGTCACCTCATTATGTAGAGTTTACTGTACAGCAAAACCGGGCTGTTCATGAGTTGAGGCTGTGGAGGGATTTGTTCATGTAGGACAGTCTATATGGTGTGTTGTCATGGTGATGTAGGCCTGTGTCTAGGTGACAAGTTGTGAAGGTGACAGGAATGTCAGGGGTATTGAGTACATCATGAGCAACCCTGATACAGGAAATTGTTAATTATGCAGTTTGATAGACAGTATGACAATTTATCTGGTAGTACAACCATATCCTGAGGGCAGTTGTATTTGATTTAAACATTCCAGCACGAAATTCCCCCTTAAGACCTGTTTCTCAGCGAAGCCCCGCGTGATAAGCCACATATCACACGTCAAGTCTGTCAGCCCTGATGTTAGTTTTGCCAGTTGACTACACTGTGAGAGCTATATGCTGACATCATCACCTGTTGAATCAGAGAATCAAACGGAATATTACAAACCTTAAGGAAATATGTACCTTAGTATCACATTGTTCTACAATTATGCAAACCCTTCATCCAGTTATACTGTACATGGGGGGAATCTTGGCTTCACAGTAAAATAAAAGTTGAGAAATAATTGAAAGTTTGGTAAGTTTTTTTAAAGTAAAGTGGCGCTGACAGTATGCAAGTGAATGATGAATTAGGATGATGTCTACTTGTCCTTAGAACAGATCCAGATGAATATATATTGGTTTAAAGCACCAAGCTCTCCAAATTGTATGTTAAATACGATATCATACCCTTAGTTTGATGCTGTGTTGTCAAGTTAGGGTTATTGGTATTTTTCTGATTGATATTTTATCAGTGTGTCAATGAATAAATAGATCATTATTCATAATTTCAAAATTTACATATATCCCTAACTATTTTTGTCCAGTATATATTGTTCAAAACAATAAAATATGATATCATCTGTTGTTCATAACAGCATGCATTGATTTTTTACTTCCTTAAACAATAGGCTGACTTCTACTGTCCCCGTGAAGATCCTACTTAGATTTGATCTAGAGCAACCATGTTTGTTGTAAGAGGCGACTAACAGGAATGAATGGTGGGGCTTGCTGACTTGGTTGATGCGTATCCAAGTTGCTGACATCAATGCTCATAATGTCTATCATATGATTGTCTTGTCCATTATTTACAAACATCATTGCAGCAATATTGCTTAGTGCAGTGTTAAACAAACAAACAAACAGGGACAAAGTTCAATAAATACCCAAATAGTGTCAACTAGATAAGACATACCAAGAAGTTAGTAAACACTGAAGCTTAGAGATTTGAAGTTTCTGTCCAATACAACTAATGTTAGGTTAGTTAATCTGAGACAAAAGGTTTGAATGTGTGCTGACTTTGCAGGAGGTAGACTACCTGAGTATCGGCCTGAGTGCGTGGAACAACATGTGGGACATGATCACTAGTGACGACTCAGAATGGAAGAAGGAAGCTGGGACTGACCCCACAGGAGGGTGCGTTCACAGCAGGACTGTGCCCACACACGGCAAGGTCTTCAGGCTGCAGGTGAGGCTTGGCCACTTATGGGGGGTGTAGGGAGTCAGGAAGTACAGGTGTCTGAAGCCTGCAAATGAGGCATAGTGTAGTGTTGACATTGGTTTGACTGTCATGATGCAAATAATTTATGGTGTCCTTTACATTCTTTGGGAGTCAAACAAGGAAATGGACAACACTTAATGAAGGTTACACAAGTATAAACAAACACTTGGAGATCTGTTTGATTGGCATTTTAGAACGCAGAATGTTCCATAAAGAATCTTACTTTTCTTAAAACCCTTGGAGAGTGTTACACAAAATATGAAGAGCACTTCAGGGCTGTTATCAACACTTTGGGAGGAAAATCCCTTTGTACTATGAAGAATGAAAATGTGGGATTGTGTGTGTGTGTAAAGACATTCTCCATTATCAGACTATGGTAACCTAGTCTGTTATCTGTTCTACTGGGCTGTTCTGATGCCTTGTTCTACTGGACTCTCCTGATATCTTTGCTAACGGAACATTTGTGCTTTTCAGGGTTTAGTGGAGCTGAGTCCAGCTGATCTGTTTCGTGAGATAGTGACCAATCAGAGTGAGCAGCCGGACTGGAACCCCACTGTGATTGAGTGCAGGGTGAGTAGACGAGGACCAACTTAACCTTTACATTACAGGAGTGTCATGGTACACCCACATGGTACGACGTGTGAAGCCCATTTCTGGTGATATTGCTGAAATGCTGAGAGTGAAAACCATACTCACTGACTACTACCAGGGACATGATTATGGTAAGAGTGAGTGAGGGAATGTTTGTTTGGGCCTGGGCCAGGCAAACCAGGGGTTATCATTATGACCCTCCCTATCAGATGTGTGTAGGTGATGGGTGGCCTTGAGGGATTAAATGAGTGGGTGTTTTCTGCTAAATCAGCACTTTCAGGTATGTCACCATTTGTAAGTGTACACAAGACAATCAATCTTCCAATATTATTATAAACTCCTTCATTAGCTAAAGATTCCCCATTCCTTGCAGACGTTGCAAGTCATAAATGACAACACAGATGTCTCTTACAATGTCGCTGCTGAGGGTGGTGGCGGCCTCATCACCAGCAGGGACTTCGTCACCGTGAGACACTGGGGCGTCAAGGACGGCACTTACATGTCAGCAGGCATTGCTACCACACATCCAGAAATGCCACCACAAAAGAAATATGTCAGGTGAGTTCTTGCAATACACATTAAGAAATGCTTGGAAATTTGCGTGTCTCTGTTGGAATTATGGGGTGTAAAGATCTTTGGAAATTAGATTGTGTTGGGATGAATATATCTCAAGGTGTTGTTGCCTGAATGTAAGTTTGTTTGGATGATAAGGTGCTGCAATTTGCTTTGCACAGTCATACTTGCCTGGATTCCTTGGCACAGATATGCCCCTTAGACATAACAGGAAGCCCTGACTATTTGTTGCTTTATATAGTTGTTAGTAATATATTAGACAGGGCAGAACTTTGAGATCTGCATAACAACATGTTTTCCTCTCATATCAAGTTGGCATGCAGTGATACAACTGAAATTACAGTTAAAGTTGGTGTCAAGCCCAATTCACTCACTCATCATACACTGCTAGAAATTTGGTCCCTGGACAATGAGTGAGTCACTGAGTGAAGAATTTCCCAGATACAGGCAGTTTCAGAAGATAGATGAGACGTTGTGTAGTTTCAGGACACAAATGACATCTTTGTGGTTCACTTTGAGTGGCAGCATGTCACCCATGTTGATAGATGTTGACATTTTTAGAAATTCTGTTGCGGCCATCAATCCCATGTTGTTGTGTTAGTGGCAGCTTTAACAGTGCTGTGTGTGTTTCATTAATCCCATTGTTTAGGGGCTGGCTTAAAATGTGTGTGTGTGTTTCAGGGGTGAGAACGGTCCAGGAGGCTGGGGCTTCAAACCTGTCCCAGGGGAGCCGGATCAGTGTATCTTCGTCTGGCTGCTCAACACAAACCTCAAGGTGAGGAGGCAAGAACAGCACATGCCTGTTGTATAAGGACACCCACATGCCTGTTAGACAGGGGGCAGCACATGCCTGTTGTACAGGGGACACCAACCCGTTAGACATGCCTGGTACAAGGGACACCCACATGCCGTTAGGCAGGGGGCAGCACATGCCTGTTGTACAAGGGACACCCACATGACCGTTAGACAGGGGGCAGCACATGCCTGTTGTACAAGGGACACCCACATGCTCGTTAGGCAGGGGGCAGCACATGCCTGTTGTACAAAGGGACACCCACATGCCCGTTAGGCAGGGGCCATGCCTGTTGTACAAGGACACCCACATGCCCGTTAGGCAGGGGGCAGCACATGCCTGTTGTAAAGGGACACCCACATGCTCATTAGGCAGGGGGCAGCACATGCCTGTTGTATAAGGGACACCCACATGCTCGTTAGGCAGGAGACAGCACATGCCTGTTGTATAAGGGACACCCACATGCTCGTTAGGCAGGGGGCAGCACATGCCTGTTGTACAAGGGACACCCACATGCTCGTTAGGCAGGAGACAGCACATGCCTGTTGTATAAGGGACACCCACATGCTTTCGTTAGACAGGGGCATCACATACCTGTTGTATAAGGGACACCCACATGCTCGTTAGGCAGGAGACAGCACATGCCTGTTGTATAAGGGACACCCACATGCTTTCGTTAGACGGGGGGCACATGCCTGTTGTTACAAGGGACACCCACATGCCCGTTAGACAGGAGACAGCACATGCCTGTTGTATAAGGGACACCCACATGCTCGTTAGACAGGGGGCAGCACATGCCTGTTGTACAAGAGACACCCACATGCCCGTTAGACAGGAGACAGCACATGCCTGTTGTACAAGGGACACCCACATGCTCGTTAGACAGGAGACAGCACATGCCTGTTGTATAAGGGACACCCACATGCTCGTTAGGCAGGGGGCAGCACATGCCTGTTGTATAAGGGACACCCACATGCTCGTTAGGGGGCAGCACATGCCTGTTGTATAAGGGACACCCACATGCTAGCGGTTGGGCGGGGGGCAGCACATGCCTGTTGTACAAGGGACACCCACATGACGTTAGTTAGGGGGCAGCACATGCCTGTTGTATAAGAGACACCCACATGCCCGTTAGACAGGGGACAGCACATGACTGTTGTACAAGGGACACCCACATGCCCGTTAGGCAGGGGGCAGCACATGCCTGTTGTACAAGGGACACCCACATGCCCGTTAGGCAGGGGGAAGCACATGCCTGTTGTACAAGGGACACCCACATGCCCGTTAGACAGGAGACAGCACATGCCTGTTGTACAAGGGACACCCACATGACCGTTAGACAGGGGGCAGCACATGCCTGTTGTACAGGAGACACCCACATGCCCGTTAGACCAGTTAGACAGGTGGAATGGACATGCCTGTTGTAAGGGGGCAGTGTGGCATCGGGATATGGAGTCTATTTGTACTTGAACTGAAACAAATTTGCTTAGATTGCAAAGGTTTAGAAGTTTGACTCACAGAAATATATTGAATTCTTTCTTCTTTCATGGGACCCATTATGCATTCAATAAACAATTTTATGAAATCCCTATTTTATTGAGCAAAACAGACCTTTTCTTTGAAACAAAGATCTCAATAGTTACAATTGAATAATTATTACTTCATTTATGCTTAGGTTAAAATGATGACAGTTTTCTTAGGCACAACAAGTGTGTAATGAAATCAGTTGAATTAAAAAGAAGTACTTCAATGAAATGAGAGAATGTGTGCTGAGCTATCAATATTCACAACTGCCCTTGTTAAATATATGATCATATTTCATCATTGGCAACTGTTCATTGATACTGGTGTTTAATAGTTTTACTTGCAGTAAAATCATATGGACCCTGTTGTTTGTTTACAGGGCTGGCTGCCGCAGAAGCTGATCGACCAGAGTTTGTCAACAGTCTGTCTTGACATGCTTGTTCACGTACGTCATATGAAGCATGGTGAGGAAAGCCTAAATAACGCTGAGAGGTGATGGGAACATGCAGAAATGTGCAAGGACACAAGCTCGTCACAGGAAACTGGGTGCAATATAGTGACAATTTCTGTATAAGTCCTGTTCTTGTTGTGACAAGTCACCAGCCAACACTGTCCAGCTTTGGATCCTGTGGTTCATGGACCAGCTTTGGATCCTGTGGTTGATGGTCCAGATTTGGATCCTCACAATGACAGACTCTTGCTGTGTGTTGGAAGATATATTATGGAACACATAGCATAATCGAAACAATGTACTGACTGATACGGGATATATCAACCAACAGCTACCAGCACTAAGAGGAAGAACCATTGTCCCGCACTGCTGGTTGTATACAACACTACAAGGGTGCTGAACCTTGTGTGACAGAATGTTCAGGCCACACTTTATACTTCTTGGTTTACATGTGAAATAGTCCTAATATTTTAGATGATTTACCCAAAATTTCAATACTGATTTTCTGAAAAAAGTATTTTTTTATGCAAAACATATTTTAATTAACTTTCTTTTGCAAGTTTTATATATATAAACAGCTTTCAAGTAAGTAGTTTCATGAAATTCAGTTCATCCAGAAATGTTCTGAATGGTGTTTACATTATTGGAACTACCCCATACCCATTATTGGAACTACCCCATACCCATTATTGGAACTACCCCATACCCATTATTGTAACTACCCCATACCCATTATTCACACAGAAATTTATTATTGACGGATTATGTGATTGGGTAGCTTCTGGATTAACCGACTTTCACAGCATTCGAATACTGATTTTGAATTTAATAATTGTACTTTTATTTGAAAGATATTATGTTTCGATTGTTTGAGGCACTGACCAAGCAAGAATGAACCATGTGAACCAAGAAAGCCTAGATGGAGTTACTATACTATGTTATCTAAAGAAGCTATGAAATCACTGGCAGGTCTGTCGATCTCCCAACACAACAACCTCTTCTTTATCACTGTCCTGTCTACATAAGAAAATATTCACACTTCATTATGTCTCATATGTCTGTAAATAATCTTTTCTACAATTATGCTGTTGTAAAAGAGTTTATATGCAAGAATTATCTTGTATTTCAAATCGTGAATTGTATTTAGGGACGTGATTCTGCCACCACCATTTTATATGCAATGTTATTCATGTATTCATCATTCAACTATTAGGGATAGGCTGTGAGAGAGCTTGGACACATTATGTGTTAGCATATATGCATGAGGTGTATGCGGCAATGTTACTTGGCATTCTTGTTCACAAAAGTATCCTGTAATTATGTTAACAGAATGGAATACATAATCAGTTTGAAAAAGTGCCAAAATATGCTCAATTTTATTAAGTTACTAATAGGTGTGAATTGCTCATGTGATGTTTAGAAATAGTCATTGAAATCAAATTTGTTTGTCAATTAATTTGAAGAGACTTTTAACTGTTTTGACTTTTGAAATGGCTAATTTACATTGAAAGAATTTTACGTCGCCTGCCATGAAACAAGAAACTGAAACATTTCTTCTTTCTCACTAAACATGAATGTATATATTGGGGTGGGGGGGTAAACATGTTGTTCAAGGGAGATCTTGGTGCATATGTTTAAAACAGTTTACAATCAATACCTACATTATGGAAAACATGTCAATTGTGGAATATAGGAATTCTCCATGATAACAGCTTGTTGCTGGGGCATTTACAAAGGTGCCATGCAGGAATAAAAACCAATGTTAATATGCTATTTAATTATATTCATGATAACAAAGTCTTGCTATTATTTCTAGAACAAAATAAATGTATATATGTAAATAGAAATACAAAGATCTACCCTTGTAGGTGTAGAAAACTGACACGTGTGTCTGTATGTATTGTGATGTGGGATACTACTTGCAGAACAGTGTACACCATGAATATATATGATCGCTCATGGAGAAGCCTGTTTCTTGCACAACTGAGATATTATAAAGTGTATTGTGTGACTGATTTTAATGCCAGACAATATTTTCCATATCAAATATAATGCTCAGAAGTGAGGAATATAATCATGATTGGAAATACTCAAAACAAAATTATGTGTTATTATATTTGTCATTACTAATGAGTATCATATTCATCTAGTGTTAATGAATTTATTGATAAAGAACATCAATCAGGCCCCGATTTCTTGAAACAAACTTAAGTCTGAGTTTTGACTTAAGTCAGAGTTTTTACTCAAATTTGAGAAAACTCATTTCCCAGAATGAACTGAAATCCATATTAAATTCAAACATAGTAGATAATTTGAGTTTTGTGAATAGAATACTGAAGTTGTTTGGGCTTTTTTTCATTATAAAAATGCAGCTGAGTTAAAATTCAGCTGTTTCAAATAGTCAAACTCAGTTTGAAGTTTGAGTAAAAACTTAAGTTTGTTTCGAGAAATCGGGGCCAGATATCTTGTTTAAACATGTTCTAAATGTGTCAGGGTTAATTTGAAGTTGTGACTGATCAAGTTAACTGTTTGAAAGCAAAATATTTTCAAATTGTTATTACACATGATTCTATTAATTTTGATATGTTAATCAATCAGGTTTTGAAATTTGTCAGAGCCTTCGTGAACAGAATAACACATACGTGACAATTATGGGGACAGGGTGACATGTTCCTGATGATTCTACCTCTTCTGGAACCATTGGTCACAAGACTCTATACCATGTGTTCATGAACCTTAACCCAATAAAGCCATCCCTTTATACCAGACCAGTGCACCTGGTGAACCTAGGGTCTTCGTGTGCTGGTTGGGGACTGTATACAGGATGTCCCTGCTGCTCACACCTCCATAGGAAGAGGTTTCGGTGACATGACAGAGAATGTGACCAAAATAGACAGTTTTGGATCAGATTGTTTATCAGATTTGTACATATATATTCATGCCATGACATTCATGAGTAGCAGATGTCTGCAGAACACTGACTATGACAGGGAAAATGAGGGTAATATTGAACTAATGTCTGTACTGTTTATGTGTGAAGTGCCATAAGGGTTTGCCTGATTTAAAGAAACTTTTGTTGTAATTTGTTATTCACAAAGACTTTTAGGGCAATTTTCCTTCATGTGTGATCCTGGAAATACATTGATGTTAACTTGCTACCAACTCCTTTGTTAATTTCTATAGACCTCACTTTACACAGGGGGCCGTGGGGTAGCCTATTGCTGGAATATTGGTAACAGCGGCGTAAAACCTAACTCATTCACTTGATACATGGTCAGAAGACTGAATACAATGTCCCAGCCTTTGATAGTGATATCCCTTGTGCTGTCATGTAAATAATATAAAGGTTGTGTAGCGTATATCAGATAGGATGACTCTTGTTTGCATTGTTAAATACAGACATGCTGCTGGTGTACTTTGCCTGACATTAATTCATTTCAAGTTGTCATTATAGGAAGGTATTCGCTTTGATTTTTCTTGTCACAGTCTGTTTTCACTATGAAGTATTCAAATATTTTCTATGCCGGTGATAAGTCTGTAAGTTGATCCGTCAGAATGTTCTTCTGAGTGTTTTTTCACAGTGTCAGTCAGCACATGTAAATGTAACTTAAGGGTGATTCAAACTTGCATTTAGGTTTGCTTACTGTTTACTTCTTTAGCTTCGTAGGGCACATAATAGCCATTACAGTGCCAGAAGCGGGACATAGGGCATTTATCACTGAGTTTGACTGGTCATTTCTGAGGTGACCAGCCCTGGTAGGTGTGGAGCATCCACTCCTTATCACCACACTTTGTACAGACACTTTGTACAGACATCTGCTGTATTTGAGGAAGAGCCCTTCACTTGTAATGTTTCATATGATAAAAAATTTCAAAATTGTTTCATTTTACCCAATACAATAAGATGTCATCATTGTTTTATTTTATATGTTATCATGGTACTTGAAGCATGAACAAAATTTCACTTTTATCATTTTATACCTGAAAACATGTAGCAAATGTTCTCATCAAGCATGATTTCATAATGGTGAGTGGTTCAAATTTCTTTTACAACAGACACAATATTTTATGTACAATGTTAAAGTCATTGCCCATTGATGTAGGTATGTTTGGGAATATGATTATAATCTCTAACCAGAAAGGCTTACTTTTCTGTCTGATAACATAACTTCTGACCACCTATTCATGTTGTTGTGATCACAATGTATCTGATTTTATCAAGGAGGACTTGCAGTACATGTAGTAGTGACAGGTTCAGCCTACGTCACATGCTCCATGCACTCATCACAATCTGTACAAACTGTAGAAAGTGTGTACAGTGAACTCATGTACTTATATCATGTCTTGTATATATGAGAATGAATATGGAAAATACAGTTTCAGAATGTGTGATAATATAAAATAAATGTCATTTTTCAGTAAACCTGTCATTTTTATTTAAACGTGTCTCATTTAAGATAACAAATGAAAGATAGATCTCACTTTCTTTGTAAAAGCATTTTATATACAGCTCGAGTAACAACACAATGAGAATGATAATACCTTATGGTTACTTGTTCAGACCATCAGCTGTTGTATCTATAGACTGAATCAGTGGTCAGTCAGCTGTTGTATCTATAGACTGAATCAGTGGTCAGTCAGCTGTTGTATCTATAGACTGAATCAGTGGTCAGTCAGCTGTTGTATCTATAGACTGAATCAGTGGTCAGTCAGCTGTTGTATCTATAAACTGAATCAGTGTTCAGACTGTCAGCTGTTGCATCAATAGACCAGATGGCTGAATCAGTGTTCAGACTGCCAGCTGTTGCATCAATAGACCAGATGGCTGAATCAGTGTTCAGACTGCCAGCTGTTGTATCTATAGACTAGATAACTGAATCAGTGTTCAGACTGCCAGCTGTTGCATCAATAGACCAGATGGCTGAATCAGTGTTCAGCTGCCAGCTGTTGTATCAATAGACCAGATGGCTGAATCAGTGTTCAGACTGTCAGCTGCCAGCTGTTGTATCTGTAGACCAGATGGCTGAATCAGTGTTCAGACTGCC